CTATAAGCAATAGATAATGATAGCTTGCTTCTATTTGTTTTTGAGGAGATGGAGAAAAGTAGACAGTTTTAAAAATATTCTGGAAGTTAATAAACTCTATTGACGGATTGAATATGGCACTGAGCCGGGGAATGTATTATTGAGGATATCTCCCAATTTCTGTCATATTCATTTCAACCCTTATACATCAGCTTAAAATAAAATGGTACCCTTACTTTATAGATAAGAAGTAGAGGCTCAGAAAGTTAAAGAAACTGACCCAAATTCTCAAATCTAATTTATAGCAGAAATAGGACTTGAACCCAGGTGTTGTGCTCTTTCCGATCTGTCATAGCGCCCACTAATGAAGTCAGCCTTCTTCTCAATGTTGCTCTGTCCTGTTCACAGTCTGAAAGGCGTCATTGGGATTGGAGTTGGAGCTGGAGCTTACATCCTCAGTAGATTTGCAGTAAGTACTCGAAGCGTTAGTCCTCTCAGTCTTGGCGCCCTGCCTGGGCCACAGCGACTACCACTGTGTGAAAGGGCCACATCCGTTTTGGATCCTCTATCAGGTTATCTGTAAATTATGTGAGATCCTTATAGAGGTTTAAATTATTCTGTGTACCATATTTACAGAACCTGAAAAATGAAGGTAATACATCTCAGTAAAAAGATTTTTAACAGCTTTATTGGCACAGAATGCACATATCATACAATTCAATCATCTCAAGAAGAATTGTACAACCATTACCATGATTAATTTTAGAACATTTTCTTTTTTTTCACTCCATGATTGAATCACCTTTAAAATGAGTTGTGTAATCCCATTCAGTTCGCGTGCTCCCTCCCCCTCCCCTCACTGTTTACTCCCCAAATCCCCTCCCCCTCCCCATGTCCCCATCCCCAACCCTACACCCCCTACAAACCCTTGCAGCAGTTATTATCTCTATGGATCCACTCCTTCACAAACTGGCAAACCCAACAGAAACAAGAATGAACAAAAACAAAATAAACTGGTAAGGATAAAACAATAGTAATATAAAGATAAAAGTACATACCGTTAGTAAGAAAGAAAAGACCACCATCAATTTTTAAAAAGCCAGGGAAGAAATTTCGTCATGGAATAAGCTCCTTGCATCCAGAACAAATTCGGGTTGGTCTGGAGGGAAGTCAACTGACCAAGTATCAAATTTGATCTAGTATAATCAGGATCACAGTGATCTATATTTGATAGTAAGACCGGTCCAGACCTTTGCCGGTGGCTAGAGGCGATCTGCCAACAGCCTAATCTGACTAGACACTCTGCAGATGGGTTGTGAGCTCCCACTGTCCTCCACAAATTGGGTGTTCACAATTTTAGCTCTGATACTTTTCCTTTGGTCATATTTGAATTTTGTTATTGTTATCTTTGAATCACACAAGTTGGCATTCTTCTTCCATGTGGACTTAGTTGACTCCTTGCTTAGATGGCTGCTTATTTGAATACAAGCCTTTAAGACCCCGGACACTATTCTGATTGATAGCCAGGCACCATCTGCTCTCTTCACCACGTTTTGCTGTAGCACCCTTATCTTCAGTGATTATTTCATGAAGGCAAGTGTTGAGCAGGGCCATGTTAGCAGAACTAATTCTTCTTGGAATGGGGCTAGAGTTAAGTAGGAGTCCAGAATCCATCTACGTATCCATGGAATATGCATGACTGAGGTTTACTTTGGCGGTTGTCTTATGAAAAAATCAAACCCCCACAGAACGAACTACACCAGCACCAGGGACATATCAACCAGCAAACAGAGTGCTTCCCTGTCCTGAAATGGAACATACTACCCTCTAATGCACATCAGTACCTTTCACCAACTAAGAAACCAAAAGAGCTTCTGTCTGTCTTTATTGGGGCTTCATTAGGTAGGAGGAGATCATAGGTGGATCGCACTGTTACGCATTTGGCTACTAACTGGAAGGTTGATGTCTTTGAAGAAAAAAGACGTGGAAGCCTAGTGGTCCACTTGTAAAAGATTAAAACCATCGATAACCTTCTACTCTGACACAACACATAGCGTTATCATGAGCCAGAATAGACTGGCAGCAACTGGTTTTTGTTTTTTAAATGTAGACACAATTAGTTGGATCATGCCTCCTATCTCCGGTCAGCCAAAAACACGATAATCTTTCTGGCTTGGCCAACTTCCACCCAATCACCCAAGAGCACCAACTCTTGGTGTGATCTAGAAGCCTCATCAAAAACACCGTAATCGCGAGAGAAATTCCAACGTCTTAGGATTTCTCTCTCAGAAACCAAGAACAAATACCAAATTCTTGGACTAAAGAAACTTTAAAAAAAATGTTTCTTGGGTGATAGAACTGCCTTCCAGGGTGGCATCACCTCCTCATGTGGTCTCAGAGAAAAAATTGTTAGGACAAAAGATACATGAGTATGAAATAGCTGATCTAAGTCTAAGCCAGGGCATCAAACTGATTCTTCCTTGGCCAGTGAAGTAAAATTGGAATAGACTTGAATTTTAAAGTTTGAATAATGCAGAACAATAATTGAAGCAAAAAGTAAGCATAAAGCCATGGAATGGGATAGGGATCTGGTGTAGATTAAATTATTGCCAAGGCACGCATTTAAAGCAGAACAGTTGGCTACCATCTTGAAGTGGTGTGCTGCTGCTGTTTCCAACTCTGCGGTTCAGGAGGTTTGGTTGCTAAACACATTGCCCTTATTTTCTAAGAGGGAGACTAGATTTCTAGCAGAGTGTTGACTCAGACTTTTCAATTTACCCACGTTTTACCAATTGAGTCCATTCTACTTTCATCAGCCGTGATTGAACTGGGAAGAACCAGTTCAAAGCACTGGTCTAAGCAGCCCCTTCTGCTAAGTATTTCCAGGGTCACTTCCAAGCAGGGAGAACTTACCATGAACTAAACAACTGCAGAGATATCAGGTACCTTTTTCCTCTGCTATAAAAATAAAGAAAAACAAAAGCCTGCCTCTCCCACAGATCTCTACAAGGCAAGATCATTTGATAGTTTCTACAAGTCAGATTTAAAGAGTTGTTTCCAAATATCTTCCTCTACACCTATCTTCTTACTTAACCATCTGAGTATTAGCATAGAAAGAAGTCTTTGTTTTTGAAGATCCATGGAACCAATGTCACACAAAAAAATGTGTATGAATTGTTAAATGGAAAACCAATTTGCTCTGTAAACTTTCACTCAGAGTACAATTAAAGAACAGTACCTTGGAAGTGGAATTGTCATACTGTTGTTTTTATTTTGTTTTTCAGCTCAATCATCCAGAGCTTGTGGAAGGCCTTGTGCTTATTAACGTTGACCCCTGTGCGAAAGGCTGGATTGACTGGGCAGCTTCCAAAGTAAGTATTGGATTAAAGTTCCCTTCCCTACATCCTTTGGCCCTTTTAAAAATGGATTATCTTTCTTAAGTACGGAGACATATATGAGAAGCTTTTAAAAGCTCATGGAAAAATGGGATTGAATAATAATAATGGAATTTTCTCACAAACTTATCAAAGCTTTCTCATACAGTTAAGGGCAAACAGTTTTAAACATATAAAATGCCTAATATAGTAGTCTATATATTTACATTTCATTCCTAGAACAACACAATGAAGTGGTGTCCATATTATCTCACAAAGACATTAAGCCATTTACTTCAGGTTGTACAGCTAGTAAGTCACAAAGCCAGAGTATTCATTAAAGCATTGTTCTGTAGGCAGAAAGGTAGAACCAGCCAAGTGCCAATAATACAGGTTGGGTACAAAATATGATACATGTAATAATGTCATATAGTCCTTAAAAGTATATTATTTAGTAAGGAAATGAGAATTATTATAATGTTGCATAAAAGCAGGCATAATACACTGGAGATCCCCTTGCAGAGGGGTCTCGGGGAGGAGATGAGCCAGTCAGGGTGCGATGTAACAACGATGAGAAATACAACTTTCCTCTAGTTCCTAAATGTTTCCTCCCCACTCCCACTACCATGACTCGAATTCGACCTTGCAAGTCTGGCTAGACCAGAGGATGTACACTGGTACAGATGGGAACTGAAAATACAGGGAATCCAGGGCGGATGAGCCCTACAGGACCAGTGGTGTGAGTGGCGAAACAGGGAGGGTAAAGGGAGAATGGGTAGGAAAGAGGGAACCGATTACAAGGAACTATATGTGAACTCCTCCCTGGGGGACAGACAACTGAAAAGTGGGTGAAGGGAGACGTCAGACAGGGCAAGATACGACAAAATACCAATTTATAAACTATCAAGGGCTCATGAGGGAGGGGGGTCCGGGAAGGGAGGGGAAAAATGAGGACCTAATGTCGGGGGTTTAAGTGGAGAGAAAATGTTTTGAGAATGATGTACAAATGCGCTTTACACAATTGATGTGTGTATGGGTTGCGATAACAGTTGTATGAGCCCCTAATAAAATGTTTAAAAAAAAAAAAAAAGCAGGCATAATATATGTTATCCCAATTTTCTTAAATACTTTATCCATCCATGAGAGGAGAAGGGAAGGTAATATGTTGTAATTTTCTTTGGCTGGATACAAGTGATTTTTCTCATATTCCATATTTTCTTTGTTCTTTTAAATAATATAACTACTCCTCACTGATTATCTAGTTATCCAACATTTCACATTGACAACAATAGTAAAAAAATCAGTTATCTGACTATTCTGTATTTTAATGATGCATATCTAGCAGTAATGAACTCTGAGGTACAAGTGAGAATATAAGCTGGTTGTGATGGTTAAGGTTATGGGTCACCTTGACTGGGCTGTCACTCTCAGTGGTTTTGCAGTTATATAATGCCGTGATGGGGCAGTTCCACAGTGAGAGAGGCGATCCTTCATTTAGTGATCTGATGTGGTCACTGTCCAAATTCAAATAATGCCGATTTTGCATAACCACCTTGTCTTTGGAACCTAATCATGATGAAATGCGAGGAGTGGATAAAATAATAAATTAATTTTATAATTCTAAAATATTCTACCTACCAGCAGACCAGATTCTTAAAATTTTACTTACTCTTTCCCATATTTAAGTTTTCGAGAAATAGTGCTAACCCTAGCTTTGTATAAAATATATCTTAACAATGAAATTGCCAGATGCTGTGGAAAATTTCTCCCACAGCCTCACTTACTTCAAATTTGTTCTAATTACTATCTAGTATATGGACATTAAAATTTTACCTAGACACTCAGTAACAGGAAATAACCTAGTAAAATTCTTCCCAAACACTGAGATGGTGTTTTGAGTAGTAAAACAATGAAGAGAGTGTGCTTATGAATTCTAACTATCTTTCATTTATAACATGTATTATTAATAACGCATTAGATTTCTTGACTTTCACACCATCCTTCTGGACTGTGTGAGCCTGCACTGCCCATCTACATACCTTCTTTATGTCCTCTCCTCAGTCCTACTCCTAAATCAGCACTTCACCTCTGATCTAACGCAACAAAAGGAATTGAGCATAAAGCCAAGGAAGATGACAAGGGGAATCAGCAACATAATTTGAGTTGGAAATTTTTCTGAAAATAAACTAATAGTTTGTACATGTACAGATTGATGAATTTATTGGACTGTGAAAAGCATCAGTTTTCCAATGGGGAAAATTGGCAGAAAAATTCACAATGCAAGAACATTCTGTAAACAGAGTTTTTATCTTTTTATCTTTTTAGATCACATGCCTGACAACTAATGTTGTGGACATTATTTTGGCTCATCACTTTGGGCAGGTAAGTGCTCATTTAATCCAGGAGAGCTTTACTTTAACTCAGGAAAGGAGCTACCTTAGCGTTTATGTCCAGAGTAGATTTTGAAGACTAATCCTGCCTGTGACATATGGGATTTGGACAGATGAGAGAAGACAGCATCTCCCCTCACTTACTCCCTGTAAGCAGCCTGCCATCTGCTAATGTTTGACAACATCACGTGCTTTATCAAGCATTTTCAGAGCCAGGATGAGATCTGGGAAGGGCTTCACAGAAATAGAAAAAAGAAACCATAAAATGTCGGTACTGGAGAATGATGTAACGAATGTTCAAATGTGCTTTATACAACTGATGTATGTATGGATTATGATAAGAGTTGTATGAGCCCCAATAAAATGATTTAAAAAAAATGTTAGTACTGAAAGAACCTTATAAATCATTCTGTCCAGCCTCTTCAGTGAGGAAATTGAAAACTGAAGCCCACAAAGAAGTGACAATTATCAGGTGAATAATTTCGAGTTGGGGAAAAGGACTCAAGCAGCCAGGGGGAAAAGGCAGCCCTCTTTTTACAAAGGGAAAAAGTGAGTTGGAGGTCCTGTGGAACAGTGATGGATTAAATAGTAAAGAGCTATGAGATCAGAGAGATATAAGCTATTGTGGGGGAAAGGCCAGCCCCCCACAACTAATCATGGGTTCGATAGGCACAATAATATGGTTAAACCAATTACATTGGTTTAAATATTATATTAAAGTCATAAAGAGCATGAGAGATAAAAGAGAGTGAAATAATGGAATCAGACACATTTCATGGTAGCATGCTCACCTCAGCCCCGCTTGGTGATCCACGTGGAGAGAGGGGGAGGGGAAGGAGGACAAGGGAAAAGGTAACAGGGGAGCAAGGACAGGAGAGGAGAGGGGGAACCAACAAGAGGCCTAGAGGGGAGAGCCCTTTATTGCTAACCCAGACCTATATACCTTTGAGGGGAGTGCAGTTGCAAGCCCACTAATTACAGGTAAAGACATACGTCACAGGAAAGGATTGTGCTATAGGTAATACAGTAATGGGAGGAGCACGATCTAGGGGTATACACACAATAGGAAAAAGACAAGAAGAGCCATCCTAGATTCAGGATGGCAGCCTAACTTTGGATGTCACTGAGAGCCGGTTTGACCTGTTCTCTGGATCTCTATAGAAACCATTATCAGTAGGGTGTAAACAAGCCTTTAGGGAGAAGTAGCCCATTGTCCTTAACAGCAGGGAGTGGGGCCTACCTGTAGTCTGGCAACTGACTGCCTTCAGGGAGGTAACTTGACAATCATTTATCATTAGCTACAAGCAGTGTCCTGAGTCTGTTTCCCACAAGCTATTTGGAGTGGGGAGAAGAGAACGCTATAATAGTGCACTCGGTTGCAATCTGTGGTGTTTATTTTCGATACTATTTGAAGGAAAATGGTGGATGGGAAGAAAACTAACATTTACCAAATATCGATCAGATGCAAGGCACTGTAATAAGTACATTAGATGCACAATCTCAGTTATTTTCAGATGGGGAAACTGAGGGGCCAAAGAGACAATGAAAGTTGATACAGTTGAATCCAAAATAGTAAGTGGTGGAGCTGACATTTGACTTGAGGTCAGGCTAACAGCAAAACCTTTCTTTGATTTAGATTGAGTTTTTATCAAAGTTATACCTAATTTGAGTTGGAAGTATATTTAAAATATTTATATTATATGATTTATATAAAACATAGCACATATATTTTAAAGCATGCAAAAGCTCTACAGGGTGTTACAAAGAATCTGCCACCTTTCCCATTTTCTACTTCATTGAGGCAACCACTTTAAGACTTGACGGAATCTTTTGGGTTTTGTCTTCATATTATTATTTTTAATTTAGATATAACTTAAGTGCACAAATCTTAAGTGTATTTCAGTGACCTTTTACATATGTATACACATATGTATACATATGTGTAGTTACATATAACTACCACCAAAAATAAAGATATATAGAAGAATTTTGTCACTCTTAAAGGGTTCCTGGTATCCTTTCTTACTCAATCCCTCCAACAAAGTATTCATTATTCTATTATCTCAATAGGTTTTTTTAACTCTATACAAGTAGAATGACACAGTATACACTATAATTTATTGTGCTCCATTGAAACAGTAATATCAGAAAATATTCTGTTGTCTTGGTTATCTAGTGCTGCTATAACAGAGATACCACCAATGAATGACTTTAACAAACATTCATTCTCTCACCATTTATAGGAGACTGGAAGTCCAAATTTAGAGAACCAGTTCTAAAAGGCTTTCTCTCATCAGTTTTAGAGGAAGATCCTTGTCTCTCTTCAGTGTCCATGAGCCTAGCTTTCCCTTGGAAGATCTCTATGTTTTGACATCAGTCTAGGACAGCGGTTCTCAACCTGGAGGTCAAAAGACCCTTTCACAGGGTTGCCTAAGACCATTGGAAAACACCTATTCCCGATGGTCTTAGGAACTGAGACACCGCTCCTCTATCCGTCTCCAGGCGGTCCGCCCACATGCAGATAGGCGCACATACAAGTACCCAGCATGAAGACTGTTACCCATGCTATACCATGCTTCAAGACAAAAATGATGATGGCAACATGTGTACAAATGTGCGTGGCACAATGGATGGATGGATGGATTGTGACAAGAACTGTACGAGCCCCAATAAAATGATTAAAAAACAAAACCAAAAGCTTTACAGTAGTTTGGCTTAACTAGTGTTTTGTTCTGAAAAGTCTGCTTTGTGCTCTTTTAAGATACCAATGTCCAGATGAGTTGTTTTTGTTTTGTTTTCTCAATCTGGATACCTTTTATTTACTTTTCATTGCTAATTATCTCTACTAGAACCTCTGATACAATTCTGAATAGAAGTGGTGAGAACCCCACACAATGAACAGAAGTGTTAAACACAATACTAGGACAACTAATTGAGATGCCCCTGAAACCATGACCTCAAACCTCCCAATTCTTTTAAGTGTTTGGTTGTACATAAAGCAGCCTCAGCAGCTATTTTTTTTTTTTGGGGGGGGGTGTCAATGTTATAACTATATCTATCAAACAACTTTCTTTCAATTCAGTTTTTTTCAGGTGTACAACTTATTGACAGCAGCATTACATTAATCAACTTTGTAACCCTATCCCAAATCTGTGATTTTTTTCTTTTTAACTTTTTATTGTGATTAAGATGAAGGTTTACAGAGCAGATCATCAGTTTTACATTCAACAATTTATACACATTTTGTTTCAACTCACCCATTTCAGTCCCCTCAGTGTACCATTGCTCATCCCACTTCCTCCCAGTGTTACTCTTTCTATTCCTTCTTACCTCACCCTCTGTCCTTAGGTAAATGCTACCCTTCATATCTTCAGTGATTGGTTATTGTAATACTGGAGGGAGTCTAGTTGCAGGAGCTACCGACATAAGGGTGACTTTAAGTCCATAGTTTTAGGGATCCCACTACGTTATTAGTTTCTATCTGATCAGCAAGCCTGGTGTCCTTTACAATTTTGAGTTCTGTCCACATTTCCCCCCCTCTGTATAGGACTGTCTATGGTGATCTTTTTCAGTGCAGTTGGTAGTAGTAGCTGAACACCATCTAGCTCTTCTAGTCTCAGGGTTGTAGAGACTGATGTTTGTGTTATCCATTAGTCCATGGAACTGTTTCCATATGTTTGTTTTTTTAATTTTCATAATTTTTCTTTTCTCCAGACACAGAGAAACCAGTGGTTGCACTTAAATGGTTGTTCACCAACTTTAAATACCTCAGCCTTGTGATTTTGCAATCATTTTATTTGAAACTCATCATTACACCATAAACAATAACTGCTTTCCATTCCTAGCATTCTTACCCTTGATAACTGTAAAAAAAAAAAAGCTTTTATGCATTTGCCTGTTTTTTTTTGTGTGACACCATGCAATATTTGTCCTTTTGTAATTATTTCACTCAGCATAATGTTTTTCAGCTTCATCCATATGTTAGCCTGAAGCAAGACTTCATTTCTCTTCATGGCTTTCAGTTTGTCATACTGTGGTGGCTTGTGTGTTGCTATGATGCTGGATGGTATATCACTGATATTTCAAATACCATCAGGGACACCCAAAGTGAATAGATTTAAGTGGAGCTTCCAGACAAAGAATAGACTATGAAGAAGGAATCAGCTAGCCTGTCCACTTTGGAGGAAATAGCCCTGAAAACTTCATGCATAGCATAAAAAGCGTTATCGGATACTGGAAGACCTAATGAATAAAAAAAGAACACTGTGAAAGAGAGTGTCATAAGTGAGCCCCTCAGATCAGAAGGCACTCAAAATATGACTGGGGAAGAGCCGCCTTCTCAAAGTGGAGTTGACCATAATGTTGTGAATGAAGTAAAGCCTGTGGGAATAAAGCCTTCCAGACCTTCATCTGCACAATCAATGCTAGAAGAAACAGCTGCAAACATCAATAATTCGAACTTGGAATGTACAAAGTATGAATCTAGGAAAAATGGAAGTCATTAGAAATGAAAAGGAACACATTTCATTTCCAGATTGATATCCTAGGCAATAGAGAGCAGAAAAAGACTGGTATTGGCCATTTTGAATCAGAAAGCCATATGGTTTACTATCCAGAATGACACAATCACGAGGAATGGTATTTCATTCATCATTAAAAAGGACACTTCAAGATCCATCTTGACATACAATGCTGTCTGTGATATCATTATATCAGCATTCAAGGAGATCCAGTACAATAAGTATTCAAATTTATGCACCAAACACTAAAACTAGTGCTGAAGAAATGTAAGAATCTACCAGTGTCTTCATTGGTGAAGCACGCACTCCAGATGCACGGATAATTATGGACTATTGGAATCCAAAAGTTGGAAACAAGAAGGAGCAGTAGTTCGAACATACGGTCTTGGTGATAGAAATGAAACTGGAGATCACATAATAGAATTTTGTGAGACCAACGACTTGTTCAGAGGACCTTTTTTCAATAACACAG